AGATCACTTGATCATTGCCTGTTAGGTTCACTCCCTCTGGGGCACGTGGCATTGGCCACTGTCGGTAGACAGGATACTGGGCTAGATGGACCTTTGGTCTGACCCGGTACGGCCTTTCTTATGTTCTTACAAAATATTTAAACAATTTATTGTAAATAAAAGTTATATATTTTATAATCACACTAAGACAATAGAGTGTATGTTGTTAGGCAATAAAATGGCCCAACCCATGTGAATTCATATTAGCAGTTAGACAAATGTTCCCTATCACATTTTAGTACTTAAAGTCCAATGACATTGTTTAATAATAAAAAACAGAGCTGATAAGGTTCAGTTACAAGCATGCTTTGATCTTGCTACCAGCTATGTTTTCAGTCTTTTCTTTCTCTATATGGTTTTGTGTGTACTAATCTAACTAATATGTGGGTTTTTCTTTTTACAATTCTGCTCAAAATCTACTATTAAATTTGTATTAGTCACAAAATTTCCCATTTTAATGCCTGGTGTAGATTTTGATAAAATGTAGGCATTGTGTTGTTCAGGGTAGTATTTATGGTGACACTATTGATAGTGGTACTATATAACTTTACTTCAGTCAAAAATCAACATGTTCTTAATATGGGTAGACTGACCTGGGTGATTTTTAGGAGTACTGTGTGCACTTTAAATAATAAAGGTCAAAAGAGAAAGCTTCTGACAATTAGCCTTTTACATAGACTGTAAAAAAGTTTACTGAAAACATGAGAACCTATTATTACAATATTTCAGTTTGGTTACTTTACAAAGCCAAATGTAAACATCTCCTTTCAATTAATGTAAGCTTATGCTATTGTTAATAGGCATTTACATATATGCTTCTAAAAACAGAAAATATCAAATGTGCTAATGATTCATAATTTGTAATGTACATTATGTAAAATAATTTTCTTTTTGAAGCACAAATATATTGGAAGCTGTTAGCCCTAAATACCAATGGGGTGAAACTGGTAGTGCTAGTTTTGAGTTTACAAACACCCTGCAGATACAGTCTAGATAGCTATGAGGATGAATATCAAAGCCACCATGTGAAATATCTGAATGTATGTGATCTGTGTCTGGAGTGAGATAAGGCACACATCAAGGAACAACAATTAACTTGTCCTGATTAAGCAACTTATTTTCTCAAATTGTGAATTTTACTAAAAGATGCTTATCTGTTTTCTTGCTCAAGGTACTTTGAAGTAGCAATTCAGAGGGGACAGTATTATTCCTCTCAAGATAACCACCTCTTCCTCTGACAATCAAAGAAAGAAGGGGCTATGTTTACACTATCTAAACTTTTTTTTACTGTAAAGGTCATGATTCGGAGGCTAAGATTGAGACAGAGGGCAAGACAGTGTTTTGCAACATCAGAGTTAAGACACAAGGTCAGTTTAAGTTTATCAACATACAGAAATACCAGTTTCATTGCCATGGTGACAACACGTTGACAGAAAGTAAATGTTCCTTTTTAAACACATACATCACCATATTTTTTCATTTTGCAGCAGTTGGAGTTAAACTTTCCTGCAACTAAATGATCAATAGACATATAGGCACATTCATGCAGAATGTAACTTCTGGACAGAACTCAAGATCTTGCTCCAAGATCTCAGGGACAATGTGATGGTGGTTGTTTAATTTGGTTCTCATGCTTATTTTGCTAAGAAAGGGCTATATTTCGCCAATACTGAGAGTGTGAAACGCCCAAACAATTGGAGTTCTTTGCACAGAACAAGGGCAGAATCAGGTCTGAAGCAAGATGAAAAAGTAACTGTTTGCAAAAGTACCAAGAGTATTTTGTTTAGACATCTGTTCTTTAAAGCAGTTATGTGAACATGACTTCTTTTCAGGGGTTGGAAGGCATAGATTATATGACTTTTGCAATGTGGTGTAGTAGCAAGCACAGGACCACGAGCCAAGATTCTTGGGCTACTCTTCTATCTCTGCAATTGACTTGGTCTGTGATCTTGGGCGACTCACTTAAACTCTATGGCTCAGTTTCTCTATCTGTAAATTGTAGACAATACAGTAGAGCTGCAAAGATATGTACACCATAGTTACGGGCTGACCAGTCAACTGGACACCATGTGAAACCGGAAGCAACCAATCAGGCAGCAGCAAAGATTAAAAAAAAAAGCATGTACTGTACTGTGACTGTATTGCATCTTAAAGGTAGGCACATCTGGGCTGCCTACCTCTGCCCCTGCCCCCGCTCGTGGGGCAGCCACTTAAGCAAGATGGTGGGGCTGCCAGCCCAAGACAGCAGACCAGGAGCAACGCTGGGGTCTGCGCAGCTTCTCCCCTCCCCTCCCCCGCTGGGAGGGGGACATGCTGTTCTTACCCCCCTCCCTGGTGTTTACACACAAAAACACACATAAGAACAGCCATACTGGGTCAGATCAAAGGTCCATCTAGCCCAGTATCCTGTCTTCCAACAGTGGCCAATGCCAGGTGCCATAGAGGGAATGAACAGAACAGGTAATCATCAAGTGATCCAGCCTGTTGCCCATTCCCAGCTTCCTTATTTACTTTCTCCACAACAAGCATGATTTTATAGACCTCAATCATATCCCCCCTTAGTCGTCTCTTTTCCAAGCTGAAAAGTCCCAGTCTTATTAATCTCTCCTCATATGGAAGTCATTCCAAACCCCTAATCATTTTTGTTACCCTTTTTTGAAACTTTTCCAATTCCAATATATCTTTTTGAGATGGGGCAACCATATCTGCACACAGTATTCAAGATGTGGGCATACCATAGATTCATATAAAGGCAGTATGATATTTTCTATCCCTTTATTAAAGATTGCCAACATTCTCTTCGCTTTTTTGACTGCCACTGCACATTGAGTGGATGTTTTCAGAGAACTATCCTCAATGACTCCAAGATTTCTTGCTTGAGTGGTAACAGCTAATTTATATGCATAATTGGGATTATATTTTCCAATGTGCATTACTTTGCATTTAATCTGCCATTTTGTTGCTCAGTCACCGATTTTTGAGAGAGCATTTTGTAGCTCTTGGCAGTCTGCCTGGGACTTAACTTTCTTGAATACTTTTGTATCATCTGCAAATTTTGCCATCTCACTGTTTACCCCTTTTTCCAGATCATTTATGAATATGTTGAATAGTACTGGTCCCAGTACAGACCCCTGGGAGACACCACTATTTTCCTCTCTCCATTCTGAAAACTGACCATTTATTCCTATCCTTTGTTTCCTATCTTTTGACCAGTTACCAATCCATGAGAAGACCTTCCCTCTTATCACATGACAGCTTACTTTGCTTAAGAGCTTTTGGTGAGGGACTTTCAAAGGCTTTCTGAAAATCTAAGTACACTATATCCACTGGACCCCCTCAAAGAATTCTAGTAGAATGGTTTAATTTTAGAGGCATTTGAGGAAAAATTAATTAAATTTGAATTCAGGATTTTTGTCATGAGACTCAGTCATGCAAAATCTTTGCTCCCAATCCAACTTCCAGATGGTAACACACAGATACCAGAGCTTTTTCTCACTGCCGTCATTGGACATTTAGCCATGAAATTACTTCAGCAAATACAATACAGAAACATTTAATTGAAAATTAACCCCAAGCTCCTACACCCTTAGCTGTAATGTCAGTGGAAGATAGTGGTGCACAGCACCCTTGAAAATAAGGCCACTGCTTTAGGTGCTTAAATGTGGATTTAGGTGCCAAACTCTAGGAACTCATATTGGAAGATTTTGGCAGTATCTACACAACCTCAGTGTTACTCAGAACTGAAATAATTGCAAATATTGGTCCTGCATTGGGGTTTTATAGGAAATAGATGTTACATTGAACTCAAAAAGATCTTAAAGCCTGAATGCTTTTAATAACTACGCTTAGTTATATAGAAAGCAGAAATAGGAGGTATTGGATGTATTAGTCACAACAGTCACAGGGCAGTCTGCAAAAGGCAAGTTAGAAACAAGAGATGCAAGCATAGAGTACACTAGAGGAATGTACCATTCTAACCGGTCTAACCCATTAAAACACTTGCAGTACACCTCAAGCTCACACAAGCTCCAACCTGTTTTCTTGCATTTTTAAGAACTATTTAGATTAGAATAGCTTTCAGCAGGTCTAAACCAATTTAGTGCCAATGGGGACAGCATGAAGATGCTTAAGATAGGCCTCCTACTACTGCCCCACAGGGGACTGATGGTCTTTCCGGGTCTTCCTGCTTCTGGTAGCTATGCCAGGAACTGGAAGATAGGTACCCAAAGGCAATGCAAATTAAACAGTTGAAACAATGTCAGTATGGACAAGAGCAAGATAGTTAGTGTGGATTGATATATTGGCAGGCTCTAGTACAAATAGTCAGTTACGAACAGCTGAATTCTTCACTGCAGATCCAGCTTTTGGATGGTGCAGTCTATGGAACTTCTATAATACAGAGGCTAGTTCTGGCCAACAGCCAGTAACTACTGAGTCACAGCTGTATGTGGCAGTAGCTACCATAAACTTGCACTCATTTAACTGACAGATAAAAGCCACAATGGAAAAAAGAAGCAAACTCAACAGCTGAACCCTACTGATAGGAATTTATGTAGAATAATTGCACAGTCTAAAGTAATATACAACACAATTTACAAGTGAGGAACTTCTAACAGCAGGCAGATTAAGGTAAACAAGTACACAGACAGACAGCAAACAGAGATGACAGAATTAATCTTTGTCTGTCTGCCTCTCTGTTTATTTGTAGATAACCCAAAGCAGTTCCTTCCCTGCTATTGCTCAACTAGATAATACATTGAGAAACAGTTTTGAAGCTTAAGAATTATGGATCTGGTAGTTTAACCCTTCTTTGAGAGCACCCTGCACTCTTGAGATGGATGGGGGATGGGTGCCCCCTACTCTTCATAACCATATCCTGACACTGTTGCTGCCATCTATCTTTTTTCTCTCTCCTGTCAGTCTGCTTTTCTGTCTCTTCTCATTGACTTTTTCCCTTTGTTCTTTCTTTTTTCTTGCTCCATTACCTAGCTCTACTCCTCTCTTCCACTCTTTCTGTGGTAGTTCTGACCCTTTCTCAGCCCCATTTACCAGAAGAATCCATGGTGTCTGGGGTGCATGATATCCACTGATGGCACCCAAGGCTGACTTGAGTGCTAAAGGAATGGAGAAAAGAACTTGGACTGATGCACAACTGCCTGAGCCTGAAGTCTCCTATATAAGAGCTGCTCCCCCTGTCAGCTATGTAGGAGGCCACAGTGGGTATAGAGACGGAAGGTGGGTGGCTTTCAGTGCACCACCTGACATTTTAGCTGCAGACACAGCAATGCAGGAAGAAGGTGGAGATTTCACCTGCAACTTTCCCACCCATGTTATTTTCTGTTCTGCCCTGTAGCTCCTAACTTGCCTGATCCCCGCTCTCGCACCCACCACCACGGGAAACATTGCTTTAGAAGATGAACAATATACAGTGAAATTATTCAGTAAAGAAATGTAATGTCCTTTTCAAGAATGCATATAGCCAGTGTTGTCTTTTGCACCTGTGCTGGGCTACAAATGAAACAGTTACCTTAAAATACTTAACAATGAGGTTGCAATTACAAAGTTTTCAATAATAATAATAATTAATAATTAGTTGGCAGTGAGAACTGAGTGGAAAATAAATATGAGAAAAAAAGAAGTAGAGCAGGAACATGATGAAAACACACCAAGTAGCAATGCTCAGGAAAATCAAGAGGAGAAAAAAATGGGGCTCAACAGTCAAAGCAGAGAAGTAAAAATTGTAGCAGGACTTTTAATTGGCTCTGAAAAAGGTCAAAAGGGTTGGAAAAATAAAAAGTTTAGTGCAGAGGACATTAGACCATTGGTAGAAAAAATAAAAGTGAGGGCAACATCAAACAAAAGGATAGCGGATAAGACTGCGGGCTTCAAATGTGAGAGGAGGGAGAGATCCGTGGACAAAAAAAAGGAATATATGGAGCACAAGCGCTCAAAGAGGCAAGACGACAAAAAGAAATGAACTGCTTGGCTAATGTCTGCTTGGCTAATGCACAAGACAATTTTCTAGAAGTGCCCTGTATCTGACTATACAAAGTGACACTATCTCACCACAAGCGTCAATACACCAACAATGTAATATAACCACCACGTAATTTGACCTTGGGACACAGCATAGTCAGAGCTGTTAATGCTTCCCTTACCCATGGGTCTGCGCACATGAACTGAACCAAAAGAAAAACAAATACTGGAGCTTCCCTCAGTACCCCTATTCTATATTTAGAGTGGCTGGCTGTTTTAAGGTGGTGACTAGTAATTGGCCAATTTGAAATTTGTTCTAATCCAAATAATAACATGTATGAGTAGAAAAAAAATCACAGCAAAAAATATGAACTTGAACAACCTATTCACGTATCTGTTGTTACTGATTAATGGCAGCTATGTCTTGCCCGCCACTAACTTCTCCTGTTGTCCAGTATCTGGTCTTAAAATGGTCTGAAAAAAGTGTGTGTGTGGGGGGGTCTAGCTACAGAAATGAAATTGCTATCACATCTGCCTGACCCTCCATTAACTCTGCCCCCACATCTGTCTTCCTACCCTCCCCCAATTCTTCCTACAGTTCCAGTTGACCTTCACCTCCCACTTTCCCAGGCCTCGGAGGCTGCAGCAAGGTCCCTTTATCCCCTTTCCCAGGAGGGGTGTTATAGAGAGGGGGGGGTGTGTGGTTGGGGGCGGGAGCAGCAGAGGAACTGGCCAGTTAGTCACAGAAAGGTGGGGAAGAGGAAGGGGTCACAGCCTAAATAAATCAACAAAAAGTCAGTGGTAGACAAAAAAATATTGTAACAACATTTTCTTCGTATTACATTAAAAGAGCTGGAAAATCTTGATTAATCATGCTAACATTTATTTGCAAATATGACAATGCAGATGTGTGTGCTATGTAGCTAAAAAGGCAAAAAGTGAAGAGGTAGGATAGAAGAAAAAATATGAAAAGTGGTAAAACAGAGATGAAAATCACATCTTCCTTACTTGGCACCGAACCATGCCCCTTAGCCACTCCACCTGTTTTTCCCCAACAGTCTTTGTTTTTTTATGTACAAAGAGTTTTTCCTTTGAAAAACTCACATGCTCAAATTCTCTTCGTTTCCTCCAAAAAGACAGATTAGCTTGAGGTTATTGATAGCTTTTTGGAAATTTACAAGCGTTCCTCCAGCTAACTCAGAAAGACAACATGATTTGTCAATGTGATTTATGGCTTAGACTCACATGTTGGACACTTATTGTTGGGCTCTCTCATAGATTAAAGGAAGGGAAACATGCCCTTCAATTCCATTCCTTTCTGCCTATGTTCCAAGAGATTGAGGAAATAATTTTTAATTTTCTTTGAATTGGCATCTGCAGAATGAAAACATTATGCAATTCACAGTCAGTCATGCAAATTTTTATTTGGAAGTTATATAGTAAAGGAATAGATTTATGTGCACTAATCCTTCTCTCACCATTTTTCAGACAACTGAAACGTGAATTTCCTGGTGCTGTGATTCTTAGCACTGATGACTTTTTCTTCATGGAAGATGGCACCTATGTGTTCAGACATGATTGTCTAGAAGAAGCACACTTATGGAACCAAAAGAGAGGTGATTGAAACCATTCCTAGTTTCTTCATAGTCTTAATAGATTCACTCGCATCAGTTTCTAGGTACTTATACAGCCTTCAAAACCATAGCATTTCAGCTTAGTATCCTTGCATTATAGTGACACCCTAGGATGAGCGAGAACAAGTTTAAAGTTGATCTTCCATTGAAGTTCATGGCTTGTCAAAAACCATATGATTTACAGTCTCCAACTTTTGTTCTCTAGGATGTTAAAGAAATAAATTCAATATTACATGAACAAACTTTGATAAACTCATGGCTAATTTTGTTTTTTAAAAACTTTTTAAGCAGTACACACTCACTATAGAAGTGCAGCTGCTGCGAAATTTAGATATTGACATGCACGAACCCCAGCTGACGTTGTTCAGAATATAACAGCTTAACCATCTACAATGACTGATTTGTGGCTTTTACACTAGGTATTTGTTGTGTCAAAGAGGTGGTTTACAGAGTTTATTAGAAAGATTTTTACTAGGTTTGGGAGCTGAATAACAGTAACATTTTAGGGAGAAAACTGTGACAGTCTTTTAAAGAGACTGATGAGTGTGAACTTGTGTATATCAATATTACGACATTATATTTACTTCTGGGGGGATTCTGTGCCAAAAAATTAAAAATTCTGTGTCAAAAAGTTAAAAATCCTGCATATTTTATTTGTCAAAATAATGCAATACAATCACACCAGTTTCAATTGTTTTGAGAATTTATTTGAACTACAATACAGAAAAAAGTCACAATAACTATTCAGCATTTCCTAAGCACATGAAAGTTAAGTTACAAATACTTGTAACTAATACTCTGCATTCTAGTTATAATCCTGGATTTTCATTTAAATTAAATTATGCCAAGGGAAAAAAAAGTAGAATGTCATTTTAAATTGCTCAGACTTTCACACATGAAAGTCATACAGTTTTGCTAATCATTGTCCTGGACCTGGCTGGGTACTTTGGGAAGTGCTCAGTTCTGATTGTCCTGACATTTTATTGACTGCTTGGTAAATGTTTTATTTGCTCTCAAAGTCTTTTTTTTTTTCAAATGGGTAAGTAAAATAAATCCTGAGATGTAATCTAACTCCATTGTGCCACTTTGGCACAGGAAAAAAGTGTAAAAGCACATAGATCTTCCTAGCTGATTCCCTTACTGTCATTTATAAGGCTTTACATCACTCTGGCAACGCAGCAGCCTTAAAATTGTTTACAGGTTTTATGCTCCTGGGGGAATTGACTGAGAATGGGAAGTTAACTAACAATAGGAACATTAACAATGTTACTAGGCAGGCAGGCTGCTACGTTTCTGCCTCAGAGCATGAGATCAATTAACTAGCAGGCAGGCTGCTATATTTCTGCCTCGGGGACAGAGCCTTCCTCATGCATAATAAAAAGCCCTACCTCTCCATGCCAGGCTCTCTCCTTTGTTGGCAGGCATGCATGCCTGGCCCTGCCCCCTGACAATGATTACCGTCTCCCATATAGGCATGCACACCTAGCCCCCGTCCCCCCTGCAGCGATTTGCATCTCTGAGGCTTCTCCAAGCATGCTGGAACAGACGCACTGCCTGGGCTGCCAGGGAAGAGGCGCGTGTCCCCCTGCAGATTTCTTCTGCATTTTTCTGTGAGGGGGCAGAATTCTGCCAGGACTATATATTGTACCAAAGTGTATTTATACCTGCTTGCAATCGCCCTTTATAAATATTTCATTTACATTGCTACTGCTTATATAAATCCAGGTATGTTCTAAAACTAAATATCAATATTTAGAATATATTGTTTTTAATTCAAGGTTTACTGCTGAGCACATCCATTGGCTACTTAACATCTTCTAGCAATTTTAAAAGCATTAGCTGATTACAGTCCATTATTATTTATTTTCACTGTGATGGGCATAGACGCCAACTTCCCCTCTGCCCCATGGGTGCTTGACCCCCCCTCGCCCTTGCACCACTCTGACCCCACCCCAATTCCACCTCTTCCCCCAAGTCCCCGCCCCAGCCCCACCTCTTTACTGCCTCCTCCCCCGAGTGCACTGCATTCCGACGCCTTCCCCATCCTCCCGGAAAGTCCTAAGCACTGCCAAACAGCTGTTAGATGGTGGGCAGGAAGCAATGGAAGGGGGAGGAGTGGGGACGCGGAACGCTCGGGGGAGGCAGAGGCAGGGAAGGGGTAGGGGGAGTTTGGCTGCTAGTGGGGGGGGAAGCACCCACTAATTTTTCCCCGTGGGTGCTTCAGTCCCGCAGCATCCACAGAGTCGGTGCCTATGGTGATGGGTCCTCAAAGTCCAAGTCAGGAATGGGACCCCACTTTGCTAGGGGATATACAAATAGAGCCGTGGTGCTCAAACTGCGGGTTGGGAACCCAAAGTGGGTAATGACTCCATTTTTATGGGGTCACCAGGTCTGGCATTAGACTTCCTGGGGCCTGGGCTGAAGCCGAAGCCAGAGGGCTTCAGCCCTGGGCAGCAGGGCTCAGGTTACAGGCCCCCTGCCTGGGGTTGTGAAGTAATTTTTGTTGTCAGAAGGGTGTCATGGTCCAATGAATTTTGAGAACCTCTCAAATAGAGAATGTTTTCAGTCTGGATCCATCTGTTGTCTGGTGTTTTTGAGCTTTATTTAATGTTATGTTACAGCACATAAAGCAATGAAGAATGGGAAATCCCCGGTTATTATTGATAATACCAACATCCACGCTTGGGAAATGAAGCCATATGTCATTATGGTAGGCAAAACTCTGATCAACTATCATTCTAAATGCTTAGCTATGAAATTTAAGAGGTGGACTGATTGAAAAAAATTGGAAAATATTAAAAAAATAGTATTTCAATTTTTCTTTTGATCTTCAGTTATATTTATCAACAGTTGAGTCCTTGCAGAAGTGGTGAAGAGGTTTGCCTGTGTACATGCTAATAAACTCTTTAGTTCAGTAAGCAAAAATCACGTGAAAAAATTGTCTGTTAAACTTACCCAATAATTACTGAGAGATCAACTTGTAATTTCCCTTCCCCCAATAGTAGTCTTAGATTTAACAGTTTCCATATTGTTTATCTGACAAACATATAAAGTCCTGATTTATGGCCTTAGTTTACAGCTTGCTGTGTGGAGATCATACAAAGACTCTAAAGGCTGCATTTGTATCAGCCTTTAATGATTGGCAGAGATGGAGCTTTATTTGCAGTCTTCCTAGTATGACAGTGAGGCCAGTTAGTGCTAATGTTTCAGTTATGCTTGAGTATAGCCACCTTGGATTCAAGTATCAGAGGGGTAGCCGTGTTAGTCTGAATCTGTAAAAAGCAACAGAGGATCCTGTTGCATCTGAAGAAGTGAGGTTCTTGCCCACGAAAGCTTATGCTCCCAATACTTCTGTTAGTCTCAAAGGTGCCACAGGACCACCTTGGACTGTGATCTTGTCAGAGTTTAAAAGGCTGAGACCTCCAAGATGCAGGAAATAATGGCGGTGGCTCTGTGTCCTCTCAGCTGCTATCAAACTAGTGCTTGTGTGTAATTTTTCCAATGAAAATCAAGGTCGTGACCACTTGTGGATGAATGCAAAGTAACAGCAATCTAGATCAGAGGTCCCCAAACTGTGAACTTGTGGCTGGTCACGTGGTGCTGGCTGTCCCCCTCCTTTCCAGCTACTAAATTGGATTCTTTTAGAAAAGGTAAAAATATTTTAAATACTTTTTTCCTAATCTCACTTTTCCATCTAAGCAATTGCTGTAGTTGCCACAGACATGTTATGCAATTGTGAATGGGAAAGAAGATGATCTGTGTGATTAGGAATGGAAAGAATGGTCCACCCTCTAAGTTTGAGAATTCCTCGGGTAGGTGACTAGGCACATAGTGAATGTTAAGTGCTAGCATAAATATTCAAGAGATGTAAAAGATCTAATGGTAACTGCTTTAAAATTTGTGCACTTTTTCAAATCAGGCACGTGAGAATAACTATGAAGTTATATTCCAAGAACCTGACACACACTGGAAATTTAATGTTCGAGAGTTAGCAAGGTACATCTTTTTTTCCTTGATTCATCAGCTTGCATCTCAATTACTATCACATTTGTGCTAGAAAAAAGAGCAAGACTGTAAGATTCTCCTTCCTCCTTGACCATTGACTAGAAATAGTCTAGTAAATGACTAGCGGAAGACGGTTGAGGAATAGTTTTGTTACTTAGCTCTCACTGTGGACAAAATTAACATCCAACAACTCTAGTCATGCTGAAGGGTCTGAATCAATAGGAAGTTGCTCCTTAGATTGTAAGATCCTTAGGGGAAGGGATCATGTTTGTGTTCTGCATCTAGCACAATAGGATCCTGGTCCATGTCTTGGGCACTTAGGCGCTACGATAATACAAATAAATTAATAAATATAATAATACTAACATTTTGTGACTTATGCACTTAAAATATAACCATAATATTTCTTTAATATAGTTTGGGGAGGAGTGGATGCTACATTAATAATATGCAATAAATCAGTCCCTGAGGATCCTTCTTTAGATCTTGACTGACATCTATAAAAGGGACAAAATATTGTTGGTCTCAAAAATATGGCATTGTTTGCCTTATTCATGTTGCTTTTAGCTGATTATGATGATGATTATTTATTTGTGTTATGGTAGTGGCTGCGAACCCGTCAAAGATCAGTGAGTTTCCCCATTTTGTGCTGCTCAAATACCAAAGACGATGGTCCCTACCCAGAAAGCTCACAGTCTAGGTGTCAGACAGGATGGAAATGTGGGCAAAAGAGACAAGTGGTTTGGGGATGGGGATGAGGTAATAAAATGAACAGTTTAGCAGCACAATAAAAGTTTGGGTTGCCTAACCAATGCCCCAGATGTTTAGCGATTTGTAAGCATCACAGCAGAAGTAGGTTTTAAGGATTATTATTATGTATTTGTAGTAAGAAGAGGACCTGAAACATAAGGCCTTGTATCAGAGGCCTGAGGCCTAAACTAAAGTAGAGGTTAAAATTTTGCTGATATGAGGCAAAGTCAGGTTGTGAGCAAGAGGCAGGCCCTGCTCACAGAATTTGGCAAGCACAGGGCTGATATTGCAGAAACACATATTCCTAAGAGGTGCTGGGCACAGAGCACTCACGCAAGCACATTCCAGAGGGTGATACCAGAACACCTCGATACCAGCACATTCCCCAAAGATAACAGGAACACACTGACCCATACTAAAGATAAGGTCAGGATAACAGCATAATAAAATAAAAAAATTAATCAAACCAACAAGTACAAGACAATGAATGGCACCCTAATCCATCAGGAGCAATACTTGTTTGTGTTGGTGTATAAAGATGTATCTCAGAGGGAGTGTCTTGGAGAGGTGGAAAGTCCTACCACTGACTGAGCTGCATCCATTGTGACAAGCATACATGTCTTAGTACCCTTGTAGAGTCTGCCAGGTGCTATTACCATGTTTTTTCAACAATAAACCTGGCCAGGTGCCTTTGCTAAAAACCAAGTCTGTGGATTTATTGGGCAATTTAATTGAGGTCTGCTATCTCCGCAAAGCTGGGACAGCACACTGAATGAACACACACGCAGTCAACATCTGACCATAGTATTAATTTTAGGGTCAGCTACCTAATGATTTGTATTTTATTCTATTAATCAGTGGCATGAATGTCAACATTTCATCCATATGTCAGGCAAGTGGATATCTAAACCAACTCTTTCAAACACACAATTTTAGGCAACACATTGGAAAGTAATTCAGGTAAAGATGAAGATGGATACCAATGAACTATTCAGTCAGTCAGTACACACTGAAAAAGTGTCCTGATTTTGAAATGCTCCCCTATCCCTTAACCCTGATACTAAGAGTTGGGGTCTCAAGATACAATGGGTTACCTTCAATGGCAGGTGTTACCGCCCTGTCTAACCACCATCTCTTTGTGGATGGTCACTAGGCTGCTATATTAGATCCAAACCTTAGATCTCACATATTTTCAAATCTACTGCGTCTGAGAAGTGTCCAGAAACAATCTAAGAATAGCCTTTCAAGTACACTCCTGGGGTACAGACTCCAATGCTGGCACCCCTTCTTGGGATGTGGGGCCCTTCAGCCTAGTTGCTCCTAAGCCCCAAGACCAGTGCAGACCTCCCAAGCCTAACTCAGTAGCTCATGCACACTCTCTAGGGTTCTACCCACATGGTTTACCACTTAGCTCTTTGAGGGCTACATGACAGTTAAAGCAAGGGGGACACACACTTTGCAAACTCAGACAAAGCACAAGAGCTATACAGATGTATGGAAAAACAACCACATTCAAGACCCTGCCTCAGTTTCCTCACCAGTCTGAAAGCCCTTTGGGTCTTAATATTCTTCAGAAGATCCAGGGTCCTTTTGCACCCCCTCTCCTGTCAAGTCTTCCCTTCTGGTTTTGCTCTGGACTCCCCTTGCTAGAGAGTATCCCTTTTTGACAGCAGATTCTAGCACCTTTGTCTCTTGGTTCTTCCCTTGTGGGTTTTCCATTCTCCGGTCCTCAATGTTTGTTACAGCAGATCAGAGGCCTTACCAAGTCTTTGGTAGTCTCCATTGTGCTGGTAGGACCCTGAGTCTGCCCTACGTGGAGGGTGCTGTGCTCCACTTGGACTTGAACAATAACAGATCTTGGCACCTGTGTTGTTTGGTTATCAATGAGTGGGCATCTAATGCCATTGTCTGCCTTTCTGAAGATGTGAACTCTCCCAGGACTCTCTGCACCCATGCATCAGACATCATGATAGTAATCAAATAGAGCTACATATAAGATTCATAAAAATAATAAAGATATCGCTCCTGTTCTTTGCAGCAGGTTCAGTGGACTTGCCCTTGTTCCAAGGGATTCACCTAAAATTACATCCTGGCTGCCCATAAAAATATTTGGGTTATATTTTGCAGTGAAGTGGCAGAAATTAGCTTTGAAAACTAGGTTAGCTGAGATACAGCAAAAATGTTAAAGCCTAACCCAGGGGGAAAAGAATTAGTGCATTATTAAACACAGCAGGAAGATTTGCAAATGTAAGAAAATCCATCTGATACACGTAGAGAGTTAAATACTTACATTTTTCTGTTAATTTTAATTCTATAGAAGAAACAGTCATGGTGTCCCGAGAGAAAAGATACAGCGCATGAAAGACCAGTATGAGCATGACATTACCTTTCATATCGTGCTTCACTCTGAAAAACCAAGCAGAGATGGCAGAAATTCCAGTGGACCCAATGCCGCTCACAACACTGGGGCTTATTCCAACATGTGTCCAACATTCCCAAACAGAAGAACACACAGCCGCTACACAAATGAAAGATCATTTAATAGAGATGGATTCCAGAATGTATTTTAGTATTTCATTAGGGTATAAAAGACTAAAAAATTTAACCTTTTACTCTCAATTTTTGTATTTTTCTACTAAATCTAAATCAGGAGTTATTTCTGTTAATTTACAAGTCTTAAAATATTACTGTAATGTTGTTTTGTCAATTACGCAATCTGAGATCACTGAAACCAATATAAACTACACACCATCTCTGTCCCAGTACACCCAGTATTTGCCAATTTTCCTTGTTCAGTCATGTCTTAACCTTCAATTATAAATTTTGCAGGGTAGGGATGTGGTTTGTCTCTTGCCTGCAAACAGTCATGAACATTTCTGGTGCAGTGTAATTATTTCGTCCTGTCTTCAGGCACATTCTCTCTCCTTCTCCCTTCATATGCAGTCTCTCACCAATGCCAATCACTTCTTTCTCCTTAATAGTTCCAAAATCCACCCTTTCTTCATGGTCGCTGTTGCCAAGACACTTGTCCACGTTGTAGTCTTTTTTAGCTTCTCTACTTTCTCCTGCCTGGCCTCAGTGCTTCTCACCAATTCCCACCTTGGCTTGACCAGTGTAAACTTTCAATTCTTCCATTGGTTTCCTGTCTTCTTACAGGAAATTCACCTTACAAGACTCTACATAAGGTAGTCAAGCAGAAGAAATCTAAAAACCTTTGTAAGTATTTGAATGTATGGAAATTTTCTCTGTCTAAACCATGTCAAATAAAAAGATAAAATTGGACCTTTTCTTTTCCTTTTTTAAGTGTGAGAAAGTAATCTACCTTAAAAACATGCATGACCACCACCAAAAAAATAAAAAAGAATAAATGTGAGTGCTTTGTGTATTATAAAGTTTGGGTATTAAGGCATGTGAGCTGAGGAAGCTTTTGCCGAACCACATCATCTCTGTGTCTGTTTCCCATCTATAAAAATGGAGATAATGTTTACCAACCTAACTCACATAGGAGTTGTGAGCATTCACTAGATAATGTCTCTATAGTACTTTGAGCACACAGAATGTCAAAGAACTCTAAGTATATCATTATGATGTGGATGAGTACCTTGGTTTAGCTGGTGATGTGCCTGATTTCTAGTGATTGCTTTATTAGGAATGTGGAATTTATTATCTGATCATTTTCTTTCTGCTAACAGCTTCTCTCCTCATTCATCTCTAATGAGTCAATGTGCCACACCTGGGGAATTCAGAGACGACCCAGTGTTGTTGCTGGAAGCCCTAGGACTAAGCTCTGCCCTTCAGCTCAGGTCACCAGGAGAGTTCTTCCAAAGCTGTAAAAATACTCCAGGAACCGAGTATTAGCATTAAGACAACAGACTTGATACATCAATGAACCTTAAGGCAAAGAGATTCTGTTCCAGTTGTTTATCGGGATTCATTGAATGAGGAGAGGAGCTGCTAGCAGAAAGAAAACCATCAAGTAATAACTTTCTGGTTCTGCAGCACAGCTTCTCTTCTCATTCATCACTAATGGCTGGTAGCGAGCAGTGAATCATAGAGGGGGGAGGATTGGGAAGAAGGAGCAGAGTTTTAAGCATTATTATAGTAGAACAATAGGTAGAAATGAAAGTGTTACTCCATATAAAGCCAGAGTTTTGTAATTTAAATAATTATTTGGGGACAAACCCAATAGCACCTTCCTACCCTAGAACAATACTACAGAGGAATGGAAAGCTACTTGGAAATCTTTATTATGTGAAGCTCATACACTTTCCCCCACCACAATACCGCTAGGGTCCTTGTAGAGAGTCTCTTGATTCCTTCTCCATAAATAGTTTCCTAGATGTTTAGCATGCCTGCTGGGGCAGGATTTTGACATCTTGCTGCAGCAAGTTGCGGCCCTAAGGCCCTGGCATTTTGGATGGAATGATCTGAGCAGAGTACAATTGGTGTGTGTTTTCCATATATTTGAGATATACTTTAATCATTTTCCAAAGGGTGCTAAAGATTAAAACAAATGATGGGAGAACTATTTCCCAGGAATTGTGGAAAGAAAAATTTACCTTGAACAAAGAGATTTCTGGAACGAAGAGTAACTTTTTCCTCCTGACAACAGCAGTGTGCCTGACATAGATCGAGGAACTAATTCCAAAACCTATCTGTGTTCCACTTAGGGTTATGCGCATGTGCCACGCGCCTCTAGCCAAAGCTTTTTCGAAGTAGTAATGTCTGTTGGTCCGTGCATGCGCCCTTGCACTGCATTGTGATTTTGCCCAAGGTGATAAAGGGCAGGGCAGACCGACCATATCTTTGGTTCCTTCTCCACCACAGATCTACCAGATCCGCAGCAGAGGGGAAGGAGGGTGAGATTGAAATACAGATAGGGACCACACATCTCAAATAACTTCCAGTTACAGGTAAATAACCTCCCCTTCTTCGAGTGAGGGTCTCTACTGTATTCCACTGAGGGTGATTAACAAGCAGTACCTAGAAAGGCGGGGGGTACAAGGAAGATGACAGAACTGTGGAATAGAGGATTACTGCGCTGAATGAGGTGTCCACCACAGAACCATGCACTAGACTAGAAGAAAAGGTGTGTACCGTACTCCACGTGGCTGCCTTACATATGTCTGCTAGGGGCACATCGTGGAGCATGGCAGTAGTTGATGCTTGCGCTCTCATGGAATGGGCCCATATCCCATCTGGTGGGGACCGTCCCAATAATTGATAGTAGAGCATAATACATCCTGAGACCCGTTGAGATTCTCTGGGTGGAGACGGCCTGCCCTTTAATTCTCTCCACTATGGTGACAGTTTGGGAGTTTTCCAGAATGACTTTGTAGGTAAAAGGCCGGGCCCTATGTATATTGAGGGAGTGGAGCTGCCATTCCTCATTTGAGGTATGCAGTTTAGGAAAGAAAGTGGGTAGATGTATGGGTTGGTTTAGGTGGAAGCAGAAAACCACTTTTGGATGCAGGCGCAGTGAAACCATGTCCGTATGGAACGTGGTGAAATGGGAATTTGCCATTATGGTCCCAGTTTGTCAACCCTTCTTACAGAGGTAACAACAACAACCAGAAAGGCGACCTTCATGGAAACGAGTGAAAGAGAGCAGGAAGCCAGAGGTTCAAAGGGAAAGTTCATTAATGATGTAAGGACTAGGTTGAGGTCCCATGGGCGGGTATTTATGTACAAGACCCTTCCAGAATCAGACAGTCAAAGGTTGGTAAAAAACGAATGTCCCTCTACTGGAGGGTGGAAAACAGTAATAGCCACTGTGTGCACCCTGATGGAGTGGAGAACAAGTCCTGAGGCTTTCAGATGGAACACATGGTGATGCCCGCAGCCTCAGGGGCAAGACCTCTGTTGGGCCCAAGAAGTGAAACATTCCTATTTGGATTGGTAGGATTCTCTTGTGGAGTCCTTCCTTCTGTTGAAGAGGACAAATCGTACTGCCGACAAACACTCCGGTGCTAGCGGAGGTGTCCATCCAAAAACCAAGCTATTAGGTGAAGTGTCCGTGGATCAGGGTGCTAGAGTCTGCTGTTGTGTGAGCAGTTCTGGAAACGTCAGTAGTGGGAGGGGAAGATGCTTTGATGTGGAGAAGAGGGTGAAAACAGAACTGGCGAGGCCAGAACAGAGTTATCGGGTTGAACATTGCCTTCTCCCGTCAGAATTTGTGATGGATATGTTGCAGGACTGGTAGGGGAGGGAAGGCTTAGTTGATTCAGTCCAACCATTTGACAACCAGGGCGTCACCTTGTGAATGGGCACCAAGTCCTCCCCTTGAACAGTACTGAATGCACTTGATGTTGGTGTGAGATGAAAATA